TATCAGTTTTAAGTGTAAATTTCAATGAATTTTGACAGATATACACACCCATGCATCCACCATTACAATGAAAGTATATTCCCTTGTACTATTTTTGTTTGTTTGTTTGAGACAAGGTCTCACTGTGTATGCAGGATGACCTTGAACGAGTCACAGAAGGTGTGTTTTGTTTGTCTTGGGAAGCTCCTAAGAAGGGAACTGCCGGGTCTTTGGTCAGCAAACCTAAACTTTTTCCTAAGCAGAGGGACCAGAGCCTGGCATCCCTAGCTGTATGTGAGGACTCTCGATAGTGCAGGCTGTTGTTCAAGGCTGCATATTGATCTCTCACCGAATCTGTCTACATTGCGAGGCATGGCTTTGAAGGAGGCCACCAGGCAGCCTGTGAGTCGTTAGGTCCTGAAGTGTCAACATGAAGATACCAGATCTGAAGCAGGAACATAAACGCGTGGAGCAGGGTGCCCTGAACGCTGCGGCCTCCTGAGAAACGTTGGAGCCACATAGCTGAGATCAGGGTCGTAAATAGTGGATTCCATTCCTAGCCCCAGCACTGACTCGCTGTATGACTCAGGACAAATGACTGTCACACTCTGGACAGTACGTTCCACATCTGCAAAGTGGGCACCCCAGAAACCCTCCCTCATGCGTTCCTGCCGACAGTTGATGCCCAGATTCTTGTCATGCCTTGGTTGGCACCAAGCTGCCCTGGATACAGTGAGAGTCCCTGTGATCACTCCTTTGCAACTGAATTCATTGTCCCACCTGTGCCCGCCACTGCCAGTGTTTAGTTGCTGCAGCCGCCGCTAGGGGTCAGGCTTCTCCCCTTTCCTCTGTTCCAGCTCGGCTGAGGTGGTGCAGCCAGGTGTCAGGCCTGTCCCTCATCCTCAGGTTTATGTCCCCTGGGGACTTCTGGCACCTCCCTTTGGAGCAAGATGACTCACAGTGGGGCAGAGCCCAGCTGGAGTCTCAGGGCAGTCTGCTTGGGTGTAGATTGGGTCCTAGATCTTTCCTCTCCCTTCCCTGGCTCACCCACGTCTACTCGTCCATGCATCCGTTCAGGGATACCCTCCTGAACCCTTCTGCAGTAACCCAGGAGCAAGGGATGGGCTGAGCCTGCGTGGTGGCGCACACACCTACACTCCCGACACTCGGAAGGCTGAGGCAGGAAGATCGCAAATTCAAGGCCCATTCAGGCAAATTAGCAATACCTTGTGTGCAAACAACAGAACATATCCTTAACATATGACCAGGAATCACACTCCTAAGTATACAGCCAAGGAGTTGCAAATGTATTGCACACAAAACCTGCAGTTTTATTCATAATTTCCAAAGTGTGGAAGAAAGCAAGATGTCTGCTGATGGACAGATAACTAAACCATGCTGTGGCTTCAGGGTGGCCCCTGAAGTTCTAGGGTGCAAATGCATCCCCCACCGCCACAGTCTTGAGACACAGGTTGTGTATGGTGAGGATCTGTTAGTACCACCAGAGTTGGTGAGGCTTGACAGAGCCAGCTCCTGGTGCACAGCCCTGTTCCAGCCTTTTCCTCCTCAGCCCCGGGAGTGCTCCTTAGCATGATGCAGCTCAAGCTGCCAGCTCATGCAGGTCCCTCCACCTCCGACATCCCAGCCTCCAGATCTGTAAGAAGTGAATCTGGCCAGGTGTGTGATACATATCTGTAACTGCACACTCAAGAGGCTGAGGCAGGAGGACTGCCAGATGTTCAAGGCCAGCCCAGGCTACCCTGTCTCAAAAAAGGAAGGAAGGAGTTGGTGCCATCCCTGGAGGTGGGTGTGGGCACTTGGCCGCATGAGAGTGAGCTGTTTCCTGTGATGCTGGGGAGCAGCCAGGGCCTTGCCTGCACCTAGCGCTCAGTTATCAGGGAGCAGTTGCCCAGGGCCACCGTGAGGTCTCCTTTGCCCTCTCTGCTGAGCAGCTCACCTCTGATGCGTATCCCTGGCTGGTTCAACACATCGAGCCCATTTACTTTCTCTTCCACTTTTTCAGGCTTGGCAAAGCTGGAATTTGGGGCTTGGAGAGCAGCATTAGTGGAGAGAGAGGAGGGCTGGGCTCGTGGGTCCCTGGGAAGGCACACCTCGGGATCCAGGGTTCCACGTGGGTTTCAGTCTGTGCTGTGTCTACTTTTGACAGCCTCCAAAAAGGGCAAGGTTGGCCCTCTGCACAAGAATCACTGGACTCAAAAAAAAAAAAAAAAAAAAAATCACTGGACTCCTCTCCCTGGGCCCAAAATGATGAAAATGTGCCTGTGGTCTGGGGATGCAGTTCAGCTCTGCAGGTGTCTGGCTGTGGGTTCTACCCTCAGCTCTGCCAAAACACAACATAAACAGCTTCACTTCCCTAGCTGCCCAAACAGCTCCTCCACAGCCCCCTTTTCTCCACCCCTGCAGCTTCTCCCTTCTCTGATCTCAGCGCCCACAACCATTGTCACCCCAACCCAAGTCATGGTCTGGAGTGGTCAGCTCACTTCCCAGGTGTGGCGTTTACTCCATGGGGTTTTCATAAATAAGCCCAGGCTTTGCCTCACATACAGCACTGCTCAGCCCTGGGACATTCTCACGCTGAGGTGTGGGTTAAATTCCATAACCTGATCCATGGCCTGGGCATGGAGCATGGGTTAGGGCAGGTGATACCTAGGGAGAGGGTGGCAGCCTAGGGGGATAGGACACAGGAGCAAAGGCCAGGAAAGTTGGGAGACCAGGGAAAGGAAAGATGGCCCGGGCTGCGTGATACTGGAGCAGGATGTCTCAAGGGAACTGAAGCTGGGACTCCAGTCTCTGTCCCAAGACACACAGTGGTAACAGGTGACATTGCAGCCAGGTGAGAAAGGGCTGTGTTTAAGGTTGGCCTTCAGCAGGAGTAGGGGTAATCCTGGGAGACCCCTCCCCACTGCATCAGGGCAGCCCTGACTCAGCGGGCATCAGGGGGCTGGGCCAGAGGGTCGTCAGGGGCAGGAGGCCTGGGGGCCGGCTGAGATGGCCTAGGTCGGGTCCCAGCGCCGGCCGGGCGGCCCCTTTCAGGCTTAGCACGCCCGACAGCACTAACGCAACTGTGCCCGGCCAAGCAAATCTTTTGTCCTGTGCAGGCTGAGCCAGCAGGGTGCCAGCTGTATAAGCAGGGTCCCTCGGAGGCCAGCAGAGCACCATGGCGCAGCGCTCGGGGAAGGTGAGTGGGGTCTGTGTCCCCTCAGGGACCCAGCAGGGGTGGGGTTCCCCATCCATGGGCATGGAGAGGGTCCAGCCTTGCTCCAAGTGCCCTGTGGGGATGTAACCTGGGCAGAGCCGGCTTAAATTTCAAGTTAAAGGGGCTGGGGATTTAGCTCAGCAGCAAAAGCACCTGCCTTGCAAACAGGCGGTTGTGAGTTCGATCCCCGGTACCGATTTAAAAAAAATTTTTTTTTTCAAGTTAAAATGGGCAGCCGTGCCAGGTGTGCAGCCGGGGTCTCCTGGGCCCCTCTTTCCCAAGGTCACATATGTCAATGCTTCCAGCTGAGGAAACCTCAGTGGCCCTACAGTCCCTCTTCTGCTCTCTTCTTTCCAGGAAGCTAGGTAAAGCATGGACTTTGCTCCTTGGATCTCTTAGGGGTACTTGGTCTCCCTTATTGTCTCTACTAGGCCCATCTTGAGCCACAGGGACAGCCATTTAGGGTCTCTCTCCCTTTTCTCTAGTGTCCCTGTCCTATCTAACCCACTACCAAAGCCTCTTCTCTCCAGAGACTTTTCAGGCCCCTTCATGGTGACATCATCTGTCTGAAAGGGCCTGCGTTATGCATCAGTAACAAACAGTCCTGGTAGCCGGCTAGCATAAAACCAGGGTATCTGCTCCCTGGCACTGCACAGGCCTTGGTGGGACAGTGTGAGATGGAGGGAGAAAAAGATCCCCAAAATGAAGTACCCCAGTGGGTGACCCTCTATCTCACACGCATCCCTGTGACCAATCCTGCAGTCACCGTAACTGCTGGGGGCCTAGAAAAGCAACTCTACCACAGCCCCCCGGGAGAACTGCAAGTGAGGTGAAGCCAGGTGACAGCATGTCACTGGGTGACATTATTGTCCTCCAAGTGGGTCCTTCAGGAGCCATAACTCACTCTGTCTTTCTTTTCTTTCCTTTTGGTACTGGGGATCCCACTTACAACCTGCTTGCCAGGCAGGCGCTTGTGCTGCTGAACTACGTCCCCGGCCCAGGGGCCATGATTCTGGAGACCAGCAGAGTCCTTGAGTGTTCAGAACTTTAGTGTGCATGGGTTTGAGGGCTGCTGCTTTGCTTGTTGGGTTTGGGGACAAGGGCACGCTTCGAGGGCCACTTTGCTACAGAACACTGTGCCTCAACTGCACTGGATTGTAACAGTCCAGCTCTGATATCTGTCTGCTGCCCAGAGAGTGGGCTGCAAAATACTGGGGGGAGGGGACACTGGTAGAGCCCTCCTTTGAGGACACCAGTGTAGTGACAGGCTTCGACCTGCTGCTGTGACAGGCTTTGGCCTCTCCCATCACAGAGGCCCAGGAATTTGATTCTGAGAAGTAAATGTTGGGTGCCGTGTATTCTTCTAGAAGCTTCTCCTTTAATGTTATCACAGATGTTATATTTTAACAATAAACGAGCACTGACGCAGGTGTGAGGGTGGCTACCCAGTGGGTTCAAGGGCAGCCTGGAATACACAGGCCAGCTCCTGTCTCAAAACACACAAATGAACAAAATTAAATAAAACTGAGTTTTACAGAGCCAGCTGGAGTTTGGAGAGCCCAGTCTCAACTGGCATCTTGACAAAATGGGAAATCCATCCCTGAATTCATTTGCCCCACCGTGAGTGTGGCCAGAGCTGTGTGTCTGCCTGGTCCAGACTCTCCTGAACATAGCATCACCAGGCTGGGGCAGCCTGGGAGTCTGAGCACTATCACAGACACTGGATCCTGGACACTAGCACCCAGGTCCCAGAAATGGAAGACAAAGAGGCCCCTGACCCACAGCTCTGCCCTTGCCCTTCCAGATCACCTTCTATGAGGGCAAGCACTTCACGGGGAGGAAGCTGGAGGTCTTCGGGGACTGTGACAACTTCCAGGACCAAGGCTTTATGAACCGGGTCAACTCGATCCGCGTGGAGAGCGGGGCCTGGGTCTGCTTCGATCACCCTGACTTCCGGGGTCAGCAGTTCATTCTGGAGCACGGCAGCTACCCTGACTTCTTCCGCTGGAACGGCCACAATGACCACATGGGCTCCTGCAGGCCTGTGGGGATGGTGAGTAGGGCCCGGGCTTCGTGGGAAGGGTGGAAGGTGGCTGTGTGTCAGGCCTGGGTGGCCAGCAGGGGTGGCCTCTCAGCGTTAAGATCTTTAAGACTGAGAGAGTCCTATGATGGGCGATGGGCATGGTGGTGTAGACCTGTCATCCCTGCTACTGAGGACCACGTGTTCAAAGCCATCCTGACTACAGAGAGAGACCTTGTGACAACAGCCAAAGAAAAAGAGAGAGATAGAGAGAAAGGTTGGATTTGCAACCATATAGGGCATACTTGACAAAAGCAGCCTGGTTGGAACCTGGCCTTGTAGCACTCTGTGAGTTTGGCATCCCATCTCAGAGCAACTAAGGAAGGAGGCCAGACTACAGAAAATCTGGAGCCGGGTCCTTTGGGATTACAGGTGGCTGCATGTCACAGGTGTAACCCAGCATGTGTAGGGAGAGCAGACAGGCACGTTGAGCTGCCCTTATGGTGGGCTTTGGGGATGGAGGATCCCCATGTCACAAAGACCAGGTGACCTGCTGCAAGCTGTCCCGTCAGGAAACAGCTGTGCCATGAGACCAAAGTGCACAGCTGCTGTGGGTGTCAATCTGCCGCCCAACCCTCCGGGAATCCTGGGGCCAGGTCTCCAGAGAACATCTAAGGGGTTGCAGGGAAGGTGACCTTCTATACGGGGCTCTCCTCTGTTCTCTGCCAGTTGCAAAACCATTTGTGTTCTGGCATCTCAAATGGCAAGAATGCTTTCTTAGTATTTCTGCCAGGCCATGGACATTTAGAAAAAAGGAATTCGAATGCTTGGCCCAGACCCTGCATACTGCTATTGCTACGAAAACTACCAGGCATCTCATGAATGCTGGTCTTTCAAGAGCTACCCCAGCCAGCTGTGAGACGGGCCCAGACACCAGGCCAGCGGGGAGCTGGTCCTCCTCTGTCATTTGGAGACCCGGGGATCCAGTGGGGAGGTGCATGTGCTGATGTCACCTAGAAATGACATCAAGGCCAGCAGGAACTTCGGCAGAGGCGATGTTAATTTTTGATTTTTGGCTTCCTGTTTTCATAAAACGTTCTGTTACAGATTTAAAATATTGTCACTTGAAGCCCCTGCCTGTGGCCTGCAGTCCAGGGTATAGAAGTCAAAGCTGGAGGATGTGGCAGTGGCAGCTGTGACAAGAGTCTCCCAGGATGAGACTCCAAGGGTGCCAGGGTCCCAGCCTGGGCTGAGGGGCTGCCTCACCCTCCCTGGACCTGGGGTTCCTTAGCTATAAGAAGAAAATGGGTCAGTTCAACAGCTTTGAAGAATGAAAGCAACAAAACCCTTTCCTCCCATGAAATCTCACAGATGAACAGAGGCTTGTGTTGGGGAGGAGGTCACACCAGCCCCTGCCACGTCCAGGGGCTCCTGTGTGCCCAGAGCCCTCAGTGGCTCTGAGCTCCTCCCCGCCTGGGTGTGAGGAGGAGGCTAGGGTTCTCCTTCTCTCCTCCCCTTGCCTGGCCCCTGGAGCACGGGGAGCACTTCCGCATAGAAATCTTCGAGGGCTGCAACTTCACGGGCCAGTGCCTGGAGCTGGTGGAGGACTGCCCCTTCCTACAGAGCCACGGCTGGCCCAAGAGCTGCGTCAATGCTGCCAAGGTGTACGGGGATGGAGCGTGAGTACACCAAGGGCAGTCCGGGTGGGTGTCAGACCCCAGCCTTGCACCCCTTGTCCCTCCCCTGTACCGGGAAGACACCCAGGCCTGCACAACCCCAAGGAGACTTGGGGGGCTCAGTGAAAAAAAAAGGGGGAAGACAGAGCTGGTGCTGTTTGACCTCAGGGCTGCACAACCTTTACTCCTCAAGCGCAGTGACTGGCGCAGGATGGGGGATTCTGTGTTTGTCCCTTGGCTCCTGTGTGCTTAACTCTTAAAGACTACCTGAACCCTTATTAAGGGGAAGCCACCTGCTCTTTGGTCCCTGGGTCCCCAGGATTTGGTGGTCACACTGCCAGAATCCTCTCCTAAGACCCACATGACAAGAGTGTTTTGTCTGAATCCATGCCAGCCAGGCGTGACCTGTCCTTGCATCCATATCCTGGAGTCCACCTGGTGGCCTTTCTGCCACCCTCTTCTCATCTTCTGCCTCCTCCCTGTAGTCTCTGCCCTTTCCTCTAGGGGGATTCCATGCAAGCTCTAGGGTGACCCCCTGTCACTGCTTAGGTATTTCACGTGGCCCCTGAGCAAGGAGGCCTTGCCTGAGCCAGGCCTGCCTGGATCCCAGCAGTAGTGCCTCGGCCTGCTCGCAGCCTGTCTCTTCTCTCTCCATCCCAACCCCTGACCCTCCCAAGGCTTGGTGCCAGGCACCAAGCACAGGGCCCTGGACAGGACATTGGAGAGGAAAGCTGTGGGGGTGAGTCGTGTGGCCTAGTGGTCTAGTGGCCACTGTCCATCATCCACAAGCAGGGCCTAGGGCTAGAATCCGCTAACCCTGGGTCTATCTGAGAGGAAGTCCTTTGACCTGCGAAGTACTCTTAGGACTGAGGTGAGGGATCTTCAAAGTCCCAGGGTCAGACTGTCCTATGGTCTGGACAGTCCTGTGTGATCCTTGGTGCAAGTGCAAGAGGGAAGGGTTAGTGGTGAGCTGGAGAGGCCACCATGGCCTCCTAGATTTGTGCCTGAGTATCCTGGGCACCTCCAGTACTACTTCTCATAGAGGGCACACAGGAACTGGGTGTGTTGACTGAAGAAAGGAACAGTAGGACTTGGTCCCCAATCCATGAGAGGTCCCCTGCCAGGTACTGTGATTTTGGCTTTTCCTTGGGGTGCTTACCCGGAACCGGCTGCTGCAGGCAGACAGCGAGGGAGGGCCATCCCGGACTGTTCCTGGCCCTCGGTCTGGGCACTGAACACAGGCACAGTTACTGGGCACACCCATGCCCGGCTGGGCGTGACCACGCAACTGCAGGGAGGAAACCAGCCAAGACCAGGCAGTGGCTCCACTGCCCCCAGAGTGAGGGATCCCTGGGGCGCACCGGGGAAGGGGCTGGTGTCCCTGCCGCCCTGACCTGGCCCGGGCCTCCAGGTGGGTGCTGTACGAGGAGCCCAACTACCGCGGCCGCATGTTCCTGCTGGAGCGCGGAGACTTCCGCGGCTTCTCCGACTGGGAGGCGCACAGCGGCCGCGTGCAGTCGCTGCGCAGGGTCGTCAACTTCTTCTAGCCGCGGGACAGCGACCGCGGGGACAGCGGGGACAGTGACCACGGCAATAAAGGTGCTGGAGCCGCGGCGGCCTCGAGTGCTTTGTGGGCGCTCTGCGCGGTACGGGGTGGGGGCCCCGGCAGGCGTGGACCAGGGTGCTGAGAGGTCCCGCGGGCAGGAGGAGCCTGCGGGGTCTGGGGTCCACCCTTCACGCGACCTGGGGCGCCTTCAGTCCCCACCACGGGGGACCAATTAGGGAAGGAGAGTGGCAAGGGAGGCGGGTCTTTGGTGGGTGGGGCTGGGGCTGGGGGGCGGGCCCAGAGGAAACTGAGGGGCGTGGTAGGGGATATGGGGCGGGACCAGGATGGGGAAGGGTGGGTGGTATGGGGGCAGGGCTTGGATGGGGGGGGGGGAGCGGGGCCCTGATCCCCAACATCACCCTTCACCCTTTCTGGCTCCCAGTGACTGGGAAGGTCGCTGGAGAGCTGCTGGCTGGTCCGCGGAGGCATCCGGGGATGACTCCCTGCTTGCTCCCACGATCACGGAATGGGGTTGGTGGGTGTAGCAGACAGTGTTCTGCTGCCCCTGAGCAGTCAACCTGTTTTGGGGGAGATGAGATCTGGGATCCTCCCTGCTCCCACCATCACAGAATGGGATTGGCGGGTGTAGCAGACAGTGTTCTTGCTGCCCCTGAGCAGTCAACCTGTTTTGGGGAAGATGAGATCTGGGATCCTCGGGCGCCTGAAGAAGACAAGGGCGCTGGACACCTGAGTGGTATTTCTGAACTTGGGGAACCCAGAGATGTGAGCTCGGTGCACTGGACCAAGGACCGACTGGAGGGATCGGAAGGTCCACAGCCTTGTGCCTGGGTCAGTTCAGCTTTCTAACCCTACAGACTAGGTCCTCCACCCCACACCCCACCGTGCCAGGAATCTAACCCAGGGCCTAGCACTAGCTAGGCAAGTACTACCCCTCGGAGCTACATCTCCAGCCCAAGGGTTTTGGGGAGGTGAAGGGGATCCGACTGGAAATGAGGTAGAATAAAAAGGAAGGAAAAGAAGACAAAGAAATCGAATTTCTTAAGTTGTTTTGTTTTTTGTTTGTTTGTTTGTTTGTTTGTTTTTTTGAGACAGGGTCAGGTTCAGGCTGATCTTAAATTCACTTTGTAAGTCCAGGCTGGCCTCAAACTCACAGCAGTCCTTCCTGTGTCAGCCTCCTGAGTGCTGGAAGGAAGTTGAGATTCTGAAATTGTATTTTTAAGAAAAACTGCAGCTAAAGGACCCTCGTCTATCCTTAATATCTTTTAAACATCTGCAATAATCGGGATGTGTTGGCTTACGCCTGTAATCCCAGTACTCGGGAGGCTGAGGCAGGAGGTTCCTTGTGAGTTTGAGACCAGCCTCGGCTACAAGGTGAGTTCAAGGCAGCCTAAACTGCATAGGGAGACCCTGTCTCAAAAAAATAAAAAAAAAAATCTGCAATACCTTGTAATACTTTGCCTCCCATGTGACAGCTGTGCAACTGGCCACCCCTTTAAACTCCAAGGTCAGCACTGCCCAACTGGCCTGGGCCACAGGATGTCACATTCCTCCACAGTTGATGCCAAAGATGACATGATGGGATCTTTAGTGAGCCCTGACTGTTCCAGGCTCCAGTGCACAGAATCTGTGTAGCTTACACTTATTGTGTTGGGCAGTAATAGAGACCTAGATACTTTCCTCACTGCTGGGCAAAATAACTGGCACTTGCAACTTACTGGAGGAGAGTATTTTGGCTCATGTTTCAGTCCATGCTTGGCTGGCTCCAAGGCAGGATGGCATGACAGAGGGGCTGGCACAGGAAAGCTGCTCACTGCATGGCGGACAGGAAGCAGAGGGTGAAGGAGGAGGTGGGAAGGGCGATGAACCCTTCCAGGCAGATCCCCACAACCTACAACTTCCGGCCAGCGCCTACCTCCCACCAGCAATCAGCTATAAGCCCCATATTCCAACTACCTTCCAAAAGCCCCACCTCTGTGAGCACCTGCGGCTCCTGAGGGACATACAGAGATGAACCATAGTAGATGCCACGACTATGACACACTTTTGATGGTTACTGACAAATGCAAACTAGACACAGGCAGATTTCCAAACCAAGCTTGGCAGGTCCCTGTGATTCCATGTCACATCATCCGTTCCCATGCAGAGGGACACGTGGCATAAATGTGGAGCATAGTAAAACCCTTGCAAGCCTCAGACCCTACTGTGTGGCATACGTGCAGCCATCTCTGTGGTACCAACTATTTACACTTGTAAAAGTTGCCATGAGAAAGGTAGATGTTAGTAGTGAGTGGCCCAGTCCTTGGGAGGAGAAGCCAAGAGGGCCACAGTGATCAGAGGTTCAGCCAACTCTGGAAGCTCACTAGATGTGACTTGGACAGCCCACTGTGCAGTGCCTTAGGGTCCTGGGCATCTTGTGGAATATTAATACACTGTTGCCATCCTGGGAACCAAATGAGAGCCAGTAGTTCCCAATATGCTCTCTCCCCAGCTCCCAGGAAGAGCAGCACCTCATGAGTGAGCTGTGGGGGACCACCTGGATACTCATTGAAGGACGAGCAATCCTCTCCATTCTGACTAAATCTGGCCCTATTTCCACATATTGATATGCATAGAGCAGAGCAGACTTTTCCTTATCCCTTCAATTGGCTTTAAGCAACGCAAATAGGAGTTGATGTGTAGTCTTTGAAGCAAGATGACAGGCCAGTGTTACCCCAACCCATAGCTCCCAGAAAACATGTATGAGCCAGGTGAGAGGGAGAGCCATGCACCACACTGTTGGCTGAGATGGAACCTTGAGATAAGAGGCTGTGACTAGTAGGATTGAGTCACCGGCTGTGCACTTGAATAAGGTTTAGGTGGTGAGTGGGCAAAGGCTGGGCCCACCAATCAGAAAAGCGATTTTCACTCCTTCATTTGAACCTGCTGCTGTTCACGGGACCAATCAGAAGTGCTTTTCTTTTCTTTTCTTTTCTTTTTTTTTTTTTTTTTTTTTTTTGGTCGTTTTCGTTTTTATCGGTACCGGGGATCGAACTCACGACTGCCTGCTTGCAAGGCAGGCGCTTATGCCGCTGAGCTAAATCCCCAGCCCCCAGAAGTGCTTTTTCAACCCTTCATTTGCATGCGACCAAAACCAATCAAAACACGGTGCTCCTGATCCTTCATTTACATATGTCGGGGGGGCTGGGGGTTTAGCTCAGCAGCACAAGCGTCTGCCTTGCAAGCAGGCAGTCGTGAGTTCGATCCCTGAAAAAGACAAAAAAAAAAAAAAATTGTACTATACATATGTCGGGAAACCTTGTGAATCTTTGGCTTTACCTGCGTCTGCGCCAAGCCAAGCGAAGTTTGGACAAGACTGTCCCAGTGCTGCATTTGCAGGAGAGGGAGCCAACCCAGAAACTGGGTATTAAAGCCACCTTCCTTTATCCTCTGGCCACTGTGAGCTTTTTCACCACCCAGTCTCACTCCACAGAGCTTACCTCTTTTCCATCTTCAATAAAGGATTTCCGCCGCCTTTTGTGTGCCTTGCTCAATTCTTTGTTCAGGACACCAAGAACCTAGAAAGAAACCCAAAGCACCCTCCATCCATTAACAGGGCTGCGTAGGACTGCCAGGCAGGGCAGGTGTCAAAACCCAGAAAGGCAGCTCCATCTTCGGTCTGAATGAATGTGATGCCAGGAGTTGAAGCAGCTTTTTGTAACCGTGAGGTTAAAGCCAAGAAATTAGGGAGGTTCACGCTCCACCCTTTTAAAGCTGCTGTACATCAGCAGTGTCTTGTTATGGTAGAGAAACAAGCCTGTACTTACTGTGCCACTCTCAGGCAGGTTTTCTGTTACTTGCAGCTTAGCACTCAATAACCAAAACCCAGAACCAAACCTGATGTCACTTGGTTTCTGTTGTGCCCTGCCTGTGTACCCAAGCCCCTAACCGCCAGCTCTCCAGACACCAGCCAGGCAGCTGGGGCTTGTCCGTGACCTTGGTGAGTTTGCTATATGGTGACAGTGCCTCCATGTGCTCTTAGCCTGGCCTTCATGCACTAATCAACCTAATTTGCTTCCAAAGAAAGCATCTCCATTTGTTTCTCTTGGGAACAAATCTCCATCCTTGGAAGCTGAGTCTGAGGTGCACAGATGTCACACGGGGTGGGGGCCTGGGAAAAACGTGAGACGTTTGCGGAATGGAAGGCAAAGAAAGGGGTGCCCCGGGAATGTGGAGCAGAGGTGGTTTCAATCTGAGGTGGACAGCTGAAGTCTGGGGGCTCTGACAGGAACTTTTTTCATTCTGTTACATAGACGGATTGATTGTGGTACTGGGGATTGAACTCGGGGCCCTCACACTAAGCTCCATCCTCATTCCTTTCTGCATTTTTTTGAGACAGTATTTGGTAAGCCTAAATGGCTCAGGCTGGGCTTGAGCTTGCAGTTCTCCTGCCTCAGCCTCCCAGAGTGCTGGGATAATAGGCATGCAGTTGAGCACATGGCCTTTTTTACAGTTGACGTTTGCCTGTTGGATGAACAGGACAGGCTGTGGTTCACAGTTGGCAAGGACAGAAAGGCCGTGAGAGGATGGTGTCTGCTCTAGCTGCACACCAGGTCTGTGTCCTGCAATCCAGCCAACTTCCCAGAATTGCCGGTCTGGTTCCCCAGAACCTCACCTTGGGAAGTGATCCTTTGTGGCTTTGTGGGATCACTGCAATGCACTCCACTAAACTGGGATGAGGTTTGTCTTAGCTCAGATGGCCACAACCAAGCAGCAAAGCTGGATGGATCCATGCTGAACATTGATCTCTGGAAGATCTGGCAATGGGATTCCCATGATCAGGTGCTGGCTGACCCAGGCCCTGCCCTCATGACCTCATCTTGCATCTCTCATCTCCAAGGAGTCATACTGGGTCAGCACTCAGGCTTTGGGGTGCAGTTCAGTGCATAACAAGGTCTGTGGAGTAGGGCAGCTTGTCCTGGGTTGCCTTGGGTCCTTGTTTTAGGAGATCTAGAGATTAAAACCAAAGGACACTTTCGCAGGAAGAAATTTTGCGTTGGAAAGTTACAG